CAAGGTTGCACTGGATCACAGCTATGTTAGTCTTCAAATTTTCAATACCTTCCAGAGTCACTAATCTCGTGCATAAATCGCGGAAGAAAGCACTTGTCCCTGCAATTGCTTCATAAACATTCCGTGGTAATAGTTCCTTGAAGGCAAACGGAAGGAGGCGTTGCATCATTATATGGCAATCGTGACTCTTCAAGCCGATAAACTTTCCTTCGTTTCTGTCGACACAGTTACGAAAATTTGATGCATAACCGTCAGGAAATTTCACATCCTTTAAAATCCACTCAAAGAACGCATCATTTGCCTCTGCATCCAGTCGGTATATAGGAAAAGGAGCCCTACCATTCTCATCAACATGAAGTTCTGGACGAGCACATATATCGACTAAATCCAATATTGACTTCAAATTATCTTTTGTTTTACCTTGAACGTTAAGGATCGTGTTCATGAGATTATCAAAAAAGTTCTTCTCAATATGCATGACATCTAAATTATGCCTCAGCAGAAGATCCTTCCAATATGACAGATCCCAGAAAATACTCTTTTTGTGCCAGTTATGTAGTTCTCCAACAGCATTTACCGGATAATGCACATGTCCACCGACGTCTGGCGTCCTTTCTGCACCAAAATCCCTTAGCTGTGTCAACAAATCTGCCCCACAAATTTCCGGAGGTGGACTGTCAAACACCCTCTTGTTCTTCGTAAACAAATTTCTACTCTTACGATATGGATGGTCAGGTGGTAGGAATCTCCTGTCACAGTCAAACCAACACGTTTTCCTTCCGTGTTTTAATTGGAAAGCGTCAGTGTTATCTTGACAAAATGGACATGATAGCCTTCCATGCGTTGTCCATCCAGATAACATACCATATGCTGGAAAATCACTTATTGTCCACATAAGTACTGCCCGTATTTGAAAGTTTTTCTTACACACAACATCGTATGTTTCAGCACCTTGAGCCCATAGTTGCTGCAACTCATATATTAGTGGCTGAAGAAACCCATCAAGTGATCTCCGAGGATGCTCTGGCCCAGGAACGAGAATGGAGAGAAAAAAAAACTCTCGACGCAAGCACAGGTTTGGCGGTAAGTTGTATGGTGTAAGAATGACTGGCCATAGAGAATATTGTCTCCCATGCTTGCCAAATGGGCTGAAACCATCTGTACATAATCCAAGGTAGACATTTCTTCTCTCATACGCAAAATCTGGATATGTTGATTGGAAATGCTTCCAAGCTTTTGCATCTGAAGGATGTCTAATCTCACCATCTGTTGAATGCTCTGCATGCCATCTCATTGGTTGCGCTGTGCGTTCAGACTGATACAACCTCTGCAACCTTTCCGTCAAAGGCAAATACCACANCACCATCTGTTGAATGCTCTGCATGCCATCTCATTGGTTGCGCTGTGCGTTCAGACTGATACAACCTCTGCAACCTTTCCGTCAAAGGCAAATACCACATCCTTTTGTATGGCACTGGAACTCTTCCACTCGTATCTTTATAACGAGCCTTCCCACAAAATTTGCATGTAACCCGCTGCTCATCCGCCCTCCAATAAATTATGCAGTTATCACTGCATACATCTATTACTTGATACGATAAACCAAGACCAGCTACCAGTTTCTGAACCTCGTAGTATGAACCAGGGGCTACATTATCCTCAGGTAGAATACCTTTTACAAAATTAGCAATCGCATCCACACAGTCTTCAGCCAAATTATAATCTGTTTTAATGCTCATCAGTCTTGTTGCAGATGATAAAGCTGAATGACCATCTCTGCAACCTTCGTACAACGGTTGCTTTCCTGCATCCAACATATCAAAAAATCTCCTAGCTTCTGCATTGGGTAAATCTTCCCCTCTAAAATGATCATTTACCATCTGCTCAGTACCTACACCATAATCTACATCCGTTTTAATTGGTTTTTCTAACCTAACCGCAGGCTGAGGTTCGCTAGTACTACCATATTCATAATCAGTTTCTCCATGATGATACCAAACTTTGTAACTTCGTGTAAACCCTCTCAAATCTAGATGAGTCCAAACATCTAACTCTTTTATAACCTTGTGGGAGTCGATTTCACCCTACTGTCAAATAAATCGTAAAAAAGGAAACTTCGGGAAAACCCTCAGTTTCCAGAGGAACCGGCTATCTGCGAGAACCGCACAACAAAGATTAAGATGACTAAAACACTTAGAATAAAAACGAAAATAAGAGAGGTTTGAAAGCAAGAAGGTTCTTATTCCGAATCTGCGTTGAACTGG